AAGAGCTAGCTCAGCTCGGTTAGTTAATATTATAAGCTAGAGAGATAGCTCGACTCAACTCGTTATCAAGCTCGAGCTGGCTCGTTTAGCTCACGAAAAAAAAGGACATATATGTTTATAATATTTATGCTATATTAATTTTAGAAGATAACGTCTACCATTATACAACCATGCATGATTAATATATATCAGATTCATCAAAAGTATCAACCATGCAACATAGCTGGTCCATCCATGATCATGCAGTTCCAACATACTAACTAGTTATTTGTCACCACAAAGTTAAAAAAGTCCACAGATTCAATGCCAGTATCATCAACTTTTCCCTAAAAACCATCTATAAAATCAACATTTAAGTACCACAACGGTTATAAAATTAAAATTCATATGAAACAACTGAAAATAAAATTACATACCAATAAAATAGATGTACACTTCTAGATCAGTATCATCATCTTCTGGATTTATGATCGTGAACTGATAGACCTCAGCTCATGAGCAGCTCACGAGTTAACTCGAGCTGACTCGTTAAAATAGCGAGACTAAACTTCTAACTAACTCATGAAAAAGTTAAAACCAGCTGAGGCGGCCACGTGTCCAGCGAGACCGCACGAGCTGCTCAAACCGACTCCGTTTTACACTTCCCACTCCCTCCCATAACCCCATTCTACTATTCCAGTTCGTGGTGCCACACCCGCCGAGCCGTCCCACCCGCTCCCGCTGCCGACAATGCACCCACTCGACGCCGCATCCTTCCTCTCCGCTACCCGCGCGGAGGGAAGCTTCGAGCCACGGCAGCAGGAGGAGGAGCTTGGTGGAGCCGCGTCATCGCCGTCGCCGTCGCGTGCCACGCGAGCTGGCGGGGAAAACGCCGGCGTCAGATGCCAGGATTGCCGGCACCGCCGGGCCAAGGCGTACTGCGACTGCTGCAGCAACCGCGGCTCCGTCTGCCCCGGCCACGTGAAGACATCTCACGTCCCCACGTCCCAGCAGTGCAGCGAGCGCCAGCAGACGCTCGCGGCCTCAACCGCCGCCGTCGACGTCGAGCCCAACCCCAAGCGCCCACGCCGGGCCGCGCTTCCCTCTGTCGCCGCCGCCCCCACCATCACGTCGTCCGGTACGGTACATGTATTCCACCTCCACCTCGCCGCATTATTGGCTCGCCCAGCTCTCGCTAATAGCTAACTCTTGCCCGTCCTGCACCGTGCCTCTTATTGCTCTGCTGCTGCGTGCGCGCGTGCGTGTGTGCAGTGGATCAGCCGATCGCGACGACGGCGCTGGAGAGGTTCGCGCGGGAAGTGAGCATGGACGCCGTGTTCCGCCGCGTGCGGCTAGGGCTAGGAGGGCCCGAGCCGGAGGTCGCGTACTACACCACCGTCACCATCGCCGGGCACGGGTTCAGGGGAGTCCTGTACGACGTCGGCCCCCACAGCGGCAGCACGGCTGCCTCGGATACGGACGGGAGCGGTGAAGGTGAAGTAGGGTCGTCGCTGAGCACGGCCGGCGGCAGCAGCTGCCTGGATCTAACGCTGGGACTGTGAGGCACGCAAAAAGCCACACCATTTTGTCACCATCCCCTTTGCATGCTCGATCACTATCTTGCTTTGTATCGATTGATGATAGGAATGGATAGAACGGGAGATAGGATTAGGCTGTCTGTTCCCTTGTCGTTTGTGGAGAACACTTGCAACAGCAGTTTTGGGCTTTGTATGGGGACTGGAGAGAGCTTCTGTTTGCATATGCTTCCGTCAGTGATCTAGGTTATTAGGTAAAGTTGGGTGACATATAATACAGAATCAGATTTAGAAGAGCGTAGTATATGAATCTAATTATCTCATAATTGAACGACAGTTTCAGACTCGTTCAACTCCATCGTCAAGCTATCAGCTTGAATCAATTCAGAACAGTGCACATAATACTCTATATTTTAGGTGCCTGAATTTTTAGATGATTTCGAGCGGCAATCTTATGCAACCAACTAGCACAATTAAAATAGCATGCAACCCACAAAAAAGCAATTCATATTTTTTATATTCAAATAATGATAAAATTAACTATTGCCTGAGCAACAAAATAATCAAGCAACAGAAGAAGTGACAGAAAAAAACTGTGCATGGATGATTCCAAGACAATAATAAGTAGGAGTGGTACGTAAAACGGTACAAGCAAGTCGAGTACTCCGTATGCCACTTGCCCACTTCCATGGTTGCAGCTATCTACAGTACTCGGCAGGGTCAAGTCCATTTCTACACCCAAATTCCAGGACCACCGAAGAAGATCCGGCGTATCCCGGCGATTGATCGATGCAAGTCGTCAGGCCCCGTCACTGCTTCAGTGGTGGACACTGGACAAGGAGCTCTTGGCGTTCCGGGCAAACTTTTGACACTACCGAGTCACAGTGGGAAGTTACTATATTTCAGGTTTTTAATTTTTTTAAGAAATTTGTAGACAAAAACCTGGTAAAAATCAACTAGTACAATTAAAAGAACAACTCATAAAAAATAATTTAGAATATTTATAGCCTAGGAGAACAGGCTACAAGAAACTATTGCTGAACCAAGAGACAATCAAGCTTGTGTGTTTGACTCTTCCTGCTTGCACCTGAGCCGATGTGCTGAGCAAAAGTTTTTTTTTCTGAGAAACCGGGTTTGTATTCATATATTTCATAAAGTTTACATTCCAAGACTTGCAAAGAAACCCTTGAAGAAAGAAAAAATTGCAACATAGTCCTTGCACAGTCATCCTCCCGGCTGTCCGGAGCAACTTGGAGCTTGAAGCCGACCTCCATCCCGACGATTGAACACAAGTTTTTATTGGCACCAAAAATAGTATGTCGAAATCATCGACATACTTTGTGATCGCTGAACGCCTAGGGCCGAAAAAGATGGCACCCGGCCATATCACATCGCCGGAGTACAAGGAATCTGGCGCCTCAAGAGCTACCAGCAATCCCCACACGCCGGATGGTGGCACACCCAGAAGGGGAATGAAACCACCAGAGCAGGTGGTAGGTAAGAGCCAACCTGGTTTCACGGCAAGTCGGTAGACATACCTCCCAAGATCTTCGCTAAAGGAGTCACCCAGCGCCACCGCCAGAGAAGATGAGGGAGGGGCAAAAGGCGAACTTGAACAGATCCAGAGGAGGCACAAAACTCTAGATCCGACAAGCTCGTGCTCTTAACTGATACAGTTGCCTCCAGTGAAGTTGGGGAAGCCGTCGTAGATGTCGAAGCTGTCCTCTGCACGTCCACGCCGTCGCCCGCTGGAGATGCCGCCCATGAAGACGAACTCATGCCACACTCCCGGCCCGGGGAAACCTAACCCTAACTTATTTAACATAAACCTAATAAATACGGGTATATACAAATCCTCCGTCAATTCATCCAGCCCCCCCTCCTCCTCCGACGTCGGCGAGGACGACGGCGAATCGACGGGGGAACGCGAGATCGCCCCTGGTCGCCGCTCTCAACTGTAGCGCTTTGGAAGGGACGAGAAGGGTGGAGGAGCCGCACCAGGCCTGGCCGTGTAATGGACTCCACGTGTGGCTTTCATCCGCGCTGGGCCCGCCGAGTCGAGGGAGCCGACGAGGCGTTGTTTTCTTTTCTTGGCCTCCACAAACGGTTTTATTTTTCCCAACGATTTTGGCCCAAACCAGATGCAAAATTAGCAGGTTCACTAGCCATCTTGAATTCCAGCCCACTCCGGAAAAAGACCCAAGGCTGTGTTTTACAGTGGGTTGGGACACGTCACCAGGCTTACTTCCGCCACATGATGTGACCGCGGGGAAAACAATTATATGGAAACTGTATCCACAGTTGCGCCATGCATACATGCGTGGATGCATGACACGTGTTGGTCTTTATGGTGAATGCGGGCATGCGGCAAATGGGCGTAGCGCGTGAATAAGCTTGGCTGGAGCCGAGTCTATTTTTAGCGGAGGATCACTCCCTGAGTCTCTAACTAGCGTTGGATCGTTGAAGTCCGACACGTGTCAGCATCCACGCCATGTATGCATGGCTTAGCTATGGATACAGTATGCACAATTTTTTTTCCGATCGCGGCGGCGGCCCACGGTTAGGAAATCACCGTGGCGTTCAATCTTCAATAGCAGCCGAACCCGCGACCAGGCTGCGGCGGAGGCAAAACGTGATGGGCTGGCTGCGCTTTCCGAATGGCAAGTGCCGTCGTGGACGCTGCGCGGATGATGAGATGGACCGCGGGGCGGACGAAGGACTTGAGAAGACTTGCGGTGGAAGCCTAGTTCAGCCGCATGTGGCGGCCCGGCCCCGAGCGTGATGGTGGCGTGGCTCACGGGCTGCCTCTGGCGCTGAGGCTCCGGTAAACAGGGCAGGGCAGGGCAGTGGCGTAGACGATAGCAGACGAGGCCACTGTAAACAAGCAGACGTTCCCTGCAAACCGAATATAATAACTTTGCAGATTTACTACGAAGCAGCTCTTGAGACATGATCTGCTCACAAAACCCATCATTCAAATACAGAGTAGCACTCCATATCGTCTGTAGAAAATTTCACAGTAGTACTCGCGGCAAGAGAGCATTAACAGAAACCAGGCCAACAATGTTCATTGCAACAAGCTGCACAGAAACGAGCGTGTTTTGGTGGACATCCTTTACACCATCCATCCAGAGTGTACATCTAATCCGAAACATCAAACAACTTGGCTAGTTACGTAATAGAAGGCTTAAATAGTTAAAGCACACGTGGGCTACTGGAGGTCACATCTCATCTTGACCTGAAACAAAGTATGCCTGTATTTTCTAACGCCTACTGACAAACCCTCTAAAACGTGCCAGGTCCTGTGCCTAACCTAGGAAAGAACAGCGTTAGCCTATACATACATATATCACAAGCTTTAGCAAATATACAGAGCAAACTATAACCCAGTGTGATTGCTTCCAACTCTTCAACAAAATCAGACATCAGGATACCCGCAGTGGAGTCACTTGCAGTGACATTTTTTAGATGCTCAGTGACAGGATCTTAGCTTCCTTGGATGCTATGATCTTGACGAACAAACTGGCCCTTGACCCGTGGACGCTGCTCTGCAAGTAATTTCCGGCTCTGGTATCGAACCTGCAAATGAATGTAAAGGCATAAATCACAGGTCCTAGTAGGTGTCATCAAGAATTGGATTGAAACGAAGATGTGCAATTAGTTGCTTACCTTCTTCTCAAAGCACCTATCCTTCCTCTTTAGCCGGAACTTGTTCAGTGCAGCCTCACGCTGGCTCAAGTGTCGTGAACCTTCGGCGCTTGGGGTTTCAGGAACAACCTTATATGCATTGGATGATTCAGTAGGGGCAGTGATCAGGTTGGAAGTGCTATCACAGCCACTGCTGCTCAGAGTATTTCTGGTGCTGTCTAGCACAGTACTAGTTCCACTTTCACCAGTCATAGGAGAAACATGCCGTGGATCATCTTTAGGAATTTCAACACGCAGCTGCTTCCCACTGGCATTGGGGGGGCCTAAGGCAAATTGTTCCTCTGCATTTTCAACTGGTTTAGCACCCGTTTCATTTGGCTCATTCTGTTGCGATTTTTGCGGTAGTGAAGTTGCTTGTGGGGTTGATTCTTGCCACATGGATGCTTTGCTATTCCAAATGGGAGGAGCTGATTGTGGGTAGAATAGAGATGCCATCGGTGTACCATTCCAGAATGGCTGCCCATCAAATGTGAGACCTTGAACAGGGACAGGAAATGGTACGACTCTAATAGGAGGACGATTTGTTTCAGTCATGTCTTGAGAGGGAGCTGCCGAATCTCCATTTTTATTTTCAACATCCACTAGTGTTTCTGAGGTGCTGCATAATTGACCATCACCAGCATTTCCTAAGGTTGGACACAGCCCTGCAATTATACCTGTCGACAAGATACTTCCAACAGTAAGATACAGTAATGTGCACTTGTGGAACTTCGAAAACAAGCAAATTGTGCAGTAAGCTACAGATATGGGCACTTGAAGTTCCATGTCAAAGTTTATGTTGTGGCTACAATAGTGATCTTTTATGCTTCGAGATCATCTCATGGTAAGCCACTATTAAAAGAAGCTTCTTAAATATGCTTGGAAAAGAGAAGATAAATGTCAAAAGTTATTGGAAAATTTTCTGTTAGCCTGTACCTACACTAGGAGCCAAAAAAAACTCTGACACAAAAATAACAACCAGATCTGTAACTAGACTTATCTACATACTTTACAGAAGTTTTTAGGATGACGAAAGTATCGTTATTATGAAAAACCAAAGAAAGGAGCACTTACAAGGAAAATGCAGACGAAGTTGAATGGTTCAGTGTTCTTCTATCATTTTTCTCGTGGTTCTCCAATTTTCCGTAGTCAGTTCTTCTAAGAGAAAGTTCCAACTGGTGTGCTGGGATGGAGCCCTTCTCATCATTTCCCATAGATGTTGTTCTCATAGTATCCACCTCCCTCTGTGTGTTATGCTTCTGCTGATTGTCCATAATGTGGACTAGCTCCATATCTTTGGAAGCTCTCTCAGAATTATTGTCATTCAAACATGTTCTTTTGTTTGGCGATAAATCATCTTCTCTTGTTGGAATCAAGTTATTACCCTTAGCTGCTGCCACATCACAAGCAGGTTACATTAGTAAATTTCTTGCAGACAAATTGTACATCACAAGTTGAAAAGATGGGGAAAAAATTACTTCGTATTTTGGTCTGTCCATTTAGCTCAACATTCTTGTGGCTAGGAATAGACAAATGCCTTTCAGTAGATTGCTTATACTCCAAAACGTTGTTAGTTTGCTTACTTTCAGCCTCCAGCTCTGACCGTGTGCAAGAACTCTGCATGAGGGGTATCAAATTCAGTCCATGAAGAACTAAGTGAAGAAAGATATCCAAATTTGGCAAACAACAACACAATCCCTGCTACCACCTATCAGGAATTAAAGACTATGTGGTATGACAGCTCGAAAAATATCGCAAAACTGATTTAATGTTACATCAACAGTCTAATACTTTAAAAAAGTTTCTATAACAACTATGCATGTGTACCACATTCTGATCCTGCAAGCAGCCAAAAGATACTTAAGTTAATTTTTGGCAGATGCGCTTCACTTTACCATGCCCAAAAGGACCGAACTGTGATACTTCGCCAATAATAAACATTACTCTCATTCAACAAACAGTTCCATTACCCACCTGACTCGGAAAATTTATAAATTAGTTGCCTAATATTAACACATATCCAAATGGTTAAATGATGTCTCTGAAATGACCTACTATCGGCTATGCTGTGTGGGTAATGAAACTGTCTTTGTACCAAATATCAGGTGATAGAAATGTTATCGTTCAATCCTTACTGGGCAAAGTAAAACGAACAGCGCAAATGCCATATGTAACTCAGTAACTCACGGTACCATTTACAAGGCAATAGTAAAACCTAGGCTACCATTAGTAGAATGAAACAGCATCTAGACAACATTATGTTCACTGATTTTAAAACTTACTTGAGCATCACTTTCTTGTTCACTGCATTCTCTATTTTTACGGGGGCCATCTCTGTTCAAATTATCAGCTTTTGTCACGCCAGTCTTCTGTTCCATTCTTTCTGCAAGATTCTCTTCTTGTTGTATGTGCTGCACATCAGGCCCACCGTTTGCCTGCAGATAAGGTAAGATAAATTTAGCGAAAACTTATGTCTCATCACAGGTATCAAATCTAAGTATAAATGGATAAAGCAAGAAAAGAAATGCAGCCATGCCGAAAAGATACTAATATGCCATCTTACCAGTTGTTTTCTCCAAACGTGCTGCCACAAGTTCCTTAATTCATTCTTTCTTATCGGCTTAACAAGGAAATCTGCAGCACCCTTTAGCATGCATTTGAAAACCATGCTTACTGAGTCGTGCGAAGACATCACTGGATGACAAAAAAAAACAGCATTAGGCTTAGTAGTGGCATTATTAGATTAAAAAGAAACAAATCACGAGAAGAGTGACATACTTATAACAGGGATGTTCTTGGACGCATCATGCTCCATGATCGTGGATAACAAGAGGAACCCAGACATCAAAGGCAGATCAACTTCAGTTAAAACAAGGTCAACGTTGAAAGATTTTTCCTTTAATATGTCCCACGCCTTCACACCATCAGAGGCTGCAGCAACTGCATGAATAAAATGTAATACATGAGGCTGATGAAAATATCATTTCTAAAATTTAAAAATGGCGTTACTCGAACAAACCCAATAGTGTAAACAATAAGATAAATTACCTAAAAAACTAAGTTAATTATTATAAAAAGATCATCTACCCTAACCACAATTCTGACTATGCTAAAGAATTGTGGCAGTACAAGATTTACATTTGGAGTTTAGAGGCAGATGTCACCAATCATGAAGGTAGCGATAATTATTGTCCTACTTGATACTTTTTTATATATTATAATTATAGGAATCCTAGTTGATACTTGGCTCATGTGAACTTCAGTGACCTAAAGAGCAGGCAGCACCGCTATACACCAAATCACATCAGTATGGTCGCATAGAGCAATTTTTTTTAACATTCATCTACTGCAGCAGGCCAGCAGTTTCACACTAGAAGATTCAGGAAGGGAGGTGACCGTCAATATCTCAAGATCACTGTCAACTAAAAACCACAATTACGGAATTACCCACACTGACAAAAATAACATTGTCTCGCGGAAAGCAGGCGTATCACACCAGGCACCGCAATATAGCAGAAGTGAGATCTCCCAAATTTACTGCCCAGAAACACGAGCATTTCCCAAAACAGACAAGTCCACCCAAAAGGCCAAACTGCTCTTCGATTGGTTCCAACAAACCAACACCGGCAACCTCCATTCCATATAAGACTCAGATTACGTTTTAGCCTCTCTTATAACCCCTAAATTAACCATACGCAGCCTAAAATAAATACCAATTGCACAGACAATCAAACGATTCGACTCGCGGGCGACGGCGGTGCGCACCTCGGTAGCCGCACTTGCGGAGCAGCGCGGAGATGACGTGGCGAGTGGAATCGTCGCCCTCGGCGAGCAGCACACGCACCGGCATCATTGGCAGCATCCGCGTCTCCCTGCTCGACCCCTCCGCCGCCGCCGCCTCCTCCTCCCCCTCACCGTCCTCCAAATCCACCACCACCTTCACCACCTCCTCATCCACTCCTCCCCCCATTTCGACCTCCGTCAGCAGTCCTCGCCGGAGTGGATTCCGACAACCACTTCTCTACCCTCTTCTCGAACTCGGCAGTCGCCACTTGGAAGTTGGAAGCTGGAAGCCGGAAGAAACCGGAACTGGTGGTGGGCTTTGCGAAATCAAATGCCAGTTTGTGAGAGAACGACAAAGCCGAAGCGCCGCGGCCTATATACATACACCCAGCCTCTGCCACAGACAAGTGGGCCATGTTCCTGCTGTCCCGGCTGACAAGTGGGCGTTGGAGGCGGTGGCAGGTGGGCATGTGAGCTCGAGCTCCCCCCGCGGGGCCATGAAATATCTGCGGCCACTCCACCGGTGGGCGCGCCCGCCACGTCAGGCGATCGAGCGGTTTGGCCCGCGGGCCCATGGCCCCTCGGGTCCCACGATGACGTGGCGGGAGCCTGGTCAGTGGTTGGGATATTTCACGCAATGGGCGGTGAGAGGCCGATATTTTCTGGAGCGGTAGGGACACGTGGTAGGCCCGGAGCTAAAGGACCAGATCTACGGCCGGGACAGCGACACGTGGTGGATCGAGAGGGCCGAACAGGGGGGTCGTGTGGTCGAGGATGGGGTGGCCCCTCTCTTCGTTGGATCGTGCGGTTGTGGTGCAGAGCCGCAAACCCCCACAGGGCACGAGGGGTTGTGACGGGAATGTTTATTCGGCGGTGTCAGGTACACTGGTGGTGGACGTTTCGTCTCGTCTCGCGCCTGTGCTCGGTACAATTCGTGGTTGGTGTTGGTTTGCCTGCTGAGCACGTCGTAAAGAAAATGGTTTCAGTAGATGCGGATACTATCCGTTTGGCTTGTTTGAGTGGCTCGGCGCGATAGCTACTTTTTTTTTCTTCATGGAAGTTTCACTAAGACCTCTATCTTTTTTTCACTCCTAGTCTGCTTTGTGTATTTAAGAGGCTCGTTCGTTTGGCTGATAAGCTATAACTGAAAATATTGTTGACTGATTTGATGTGAGAGAAAGATATTGTTCGTTGGCTGAAAAAGTATAGCTTATAAGCCAAACGAATATGACGAAAATTTACCAGAAGGGCATATAGAGCAGAGTCACGGCATTATAAATGCATGTAGGGTGGTGTACATCCACTATCCAGTATAAATGTTCTTTATAAGTATATTGTTTTTTAGTAAGTGTAGTATTATGTGTGTACAACACCGTGCACCTACGCTCGCTGATCTTTATCTAAAAAAAACTACGCTCGCTGAAGGGCCTTTGTTTTAGTTTCGTGAACATGCATAAGTGTGTCCAGTTGTATCGGTGCTCTTAGCTTCTTGTTATTTTGGAGAAAATTATTCTTGAAATAATACCCTGGTGTAGAATCCTAATTTCGCCACTGTACATAAGAAATCCTCGTGACATTACAAGTTTATCAAAAGGAGTAAATCACAAGTTTGTCATGATTCAGTGAGCTTGTTCTCAATACACTGTTTCATGTAATGTTTTTTAAAGATGCCATGTCGTATGAAGATACCACCTTTCTAGAAAGAATGCAATTTTAATATAGTGCTAAGTCAAACTTCTTAAATTTGAATATTCTTTTAATAAAAAATGTATTGATATTTATCTTACTAAATAGGTATGTTAGTTCTTTCATGATATATATTTTTCATAGTATACATATATATTTAGATTCATAAATAATGATATTGTTTTTAAAACTTAGTTAACATAAAATAATTTAACTCAGATCATTCATATCTTTTTTAGGAGTGAGGTAGTACTAGTTAATAATTATTTTGTTGCATTTGATGTGTCCATGACCATGGCCCCAAAGTTGATGTGCAATTTCTAAAACTTAGTTTTATGTCAATTTTGTATCATCTATGTATTAACTACATTATTCTCTCTTCTTAAAACTCATGCTACAAATAGTTTTACTTTGTGTGGTACTCATAACATAAGTACGACAATGTAACTTGCCTTAAGAGGTTGCCAAACTAAATAAAAAAGTTATTAAATTCATTTAGGCCGCGCTTTAGGTGTAAAGGGAAAGGGGTGATACTCCTTCTGTCCGACCTTCTGTTCCATTAATCTAGTTCTATTGTATACCTTTAAAAAGTCTTTATAAATCCAAACCAACTGTTAATCAAATCAAATTATATACGTGTTTAGTGTATGTACAAAATTTGCATAAATAGTTTTGCTTTCAAGAAAATTTTTAATATGATGTTGAGTTTGTAGTGGTTGCATATACATTGAAAGAGAGACTATATGTTGAAATCTACATTGCAATATTTTTCTCCTAATAAAGAGGCTCTAAATTAATGGGTGTTTTGAGTTCCTCTCCCTTTTTTAAAATAATTTTCATGCTAGCTTTGTTCTAAGTTAAGCAGCTATATCTTTACCTTCAATTTCTATACATTCATATAGTTTAACAACGTGCAAATTATGTACTATAAAAATAACTCTCATGATGTATCTTAAAACATAAATAATATGATATCAAACTATATAAATTTTAGAAAGCAAAGATTAAAATAAAAAATATTTATCTTAGAACAAATTTAAAATAACGAAACGGAGGGACAATTTTGCAAATGCCCACGTAAAGAAGAGCTCAATTCAAGTGAAACAGTTGTCGTCGAAATGTCGACAAACAAGCCCTGCGGTGAATAGACGACTGCAAAAAAAAAAAAGAATGGTGGAGATATGTCCATCGCATCAACATAGAATAAAAAAGGAAAAGGGAAACGGCAGAACATGGAACAAAATGCTTCCGGAGCACTAGCATCCACAAACGAAATTCTATCCCAGCAGCCACTCGAGTCCGCGCCACGAGCTCCATCCAAAGTCGTGGCGCTAGCTAGCTGTAATCCACTCGCTCATAATCACTTGGTAGAAACCAAAACACGCACTGCAGCGAGATATTCGCTCTGTTGAGAGCTACTAGATATTTTTCTCTCTTGACCCTGGTCTCCAAAAAGCAAAGATATTTTTGCCTCCAGCGCGCACAATCGCGCACCGGCGAACGAAGGCAATTGGCCGCAGGCGGCGGATAACCCACGGCCACTCAGCCAAACCAGTGGGCGATGGAGGCTCAGCGACTATTCTGGATCAGTGGATCGGAGGAGACAATGCCGTCGGTACCGTCGTCTGGTTCTGGTCGTTTCTGAGCGCGTGTTTAGTTATAGGAATTTGGAATTTGGGGTTACTGTAGCATGTTCGTTTTTATTTGGTAATTAGTATTTAAATATAGACTAATTAGGCTCAAAATGTTCGTTTCGTAATTTCCCATTAAACTGTGCAATTAGTTTTTTTTCGTCTACATTTAATGCTCCATACATAAGCCGTAAACATTCGATGTGACAAATACTGTAGTACTTTTTAAGATTTTAAGGTGAACTAAAGAAGGGCTGATTCTCCAAAGTATCACGGGCTCCGACGTGGCGCACTAATATCTCCCTCCCCTGTGCTGCATAGTCGTCGTCGCGGTCCCCGACTGCCTGCCTTCCGCATGGGCCGCTGCAAGTTGCGGCAAATTCAGACGGACCAATTGGTCGCGATGGGACATATCATGTCATTGTTACGGAGTATGTGCGTGAGAATCCTGTTCCCAAGCCTACCTGATTTGAGATCTCGCCGAGTGATCGGTCGTCGGATAGGAGCTAGGGACGCCTAGTGCCTTCACGTGGCTCGGCGTGGACCTGTCGCTCTGATAAGGCCCGTTTAGTTCGGTCGGAATCGGTATTTGTACAACGTTTGAGTGACGGTAATCACTGTAGCAATTTGTTTGTATTTGTGAATTATTGTTCAAACATTGACTAATTAGGTTCAAAAGATTCGTCTCGCAAAGTTCAACCAGACTGTGTAATTAATTTTTGATTTCATCTACATTTAGTACTCCATACATGTACCGCAAATTTGATGTGACGGAAAATCTTTTTTTTATATATTGTCAAAGTTGGGAGTTTGGGAGAACTAAACACCGCCTAAATTTCTCAATTTTCCGTGACCATCTGTTTATGTGAGAAACTGCAGGCCAGACGCGAGAGGGGTTCAGAAAGTTCTCTCTTCCGCCGGTGTCCGGCGCCAAGCAAACCGTAACTTCCACCCTTCCGGCCCTGTGGATTGCGTTTCGACCGCGGCGTTCGTGTGGAGCACCGTGGATGACGCTGGACCACAGGCCAAGCATATGCGCGGCGCCGTGCCCGTGCGCCCACGAACACGAGCGCACGATCGCGCGCGCCCCGGCAGCTGGCATTCGCGGGAAAATGGGAAATATCTCGGGGGTGGCCTCGTAGATGATGAGGAGACGAATCATGGAACCAAACCGTGGCAGTGGGTGGCGCTCCGGCCTCCAGGGCGGCACTCGTGCCCACCGCTCACCGCCACCAGGGCAAGGAGCCAAGGAGGGCTCGGGCTGTCCGTTGCTTTTTCTGTTTTCTGCCGTTGCCGCTACTTGGCTCACAGGCTCACGCTCACCCAGCTGCATCAGCTTCCGTGGACGCGCGCAGATATTTTTATTTTTTGAAAGTTCGCGCAGAGATATTTTTCCCCTAACGGGCGCAAGATCTTTTTTCCGGATCAGCGCTTTTGGCGGCAGGGACGGGCACACACTTCTGGACGGACCGGTCGAGGGTCGACTGGTGGAAGAGCTGGCTTTGGACGTCGCCATCGTGGTAGAAGTAGAAGCCGAGGCCGGGCCATATCTACACATTCCGTGGTTCAGAACGCCAGGGCTTCGTCGACTTGTCGTGCCGTCCGAGCATCGAACGTTCTCAGTCTCGAGAGGGCAGAGGAGGAGGCAAAAGCGGATCCGGGCGCAGACCAGCGAAAAAGAGGGCGAAACGAGAGGTGGAGCTGCGTCGGGCCGTTGGCTGTGGATGGCCCGGTCTCTGGCGTCTGGCCACCATCGGTCCATCGCGCGATCCGTGCGTGCGTGATGAGTGGAAACGTGGAGGAGAGGGGTTTATTTTGGAATCATTACCGCTTCCAGTAAACCAAACACACTTTATAGGTGGTTACGGCT